AGATTATAAAGGCACCACGATCGCTCTAATGCGCGTCAATGTGTAGTTTTATCCTCGAAGAGCCAAAGTATTAAAAATTTGTTAGAGTTTTTAGGCTTAGTTTTTTTTCTCCAAATAAACAGCAAAGAGATACCTCAGAAGCATTAAAACAGGCCGATAGGTATTAGCTTCCATTAGTGAACACAAAATTTATCCACTTTTATGAATGTTTTCAATAGGGAATTAACCTTACACCTTAAAGTACCTTTACAGTCAGTCCGAGCACTCACTGGAGTGCAATGTTGACCGGGGCTGGATTACACCGATTCTACCTGTCATTAGCGCTTCTTCTTCTCCACCATGTGACCCTTATGGCTCAAACAATTGTCCCGAACAACACCTCTCAAGTGTACCTCTTCTTACGAGAGGAGGAAGTTCCTATAGGCAAGGTGGTATTAAGTGCCTCCCGAGCCATCTATCTTGCAAAGGACTACGCTAAGCGTGGCGTGTATTCTGTGACAATCGAGGAACTGACCGATCCGTCGCCAGACTTTTATTACCCTGAACCCCTTTTTAACATGTCCGAGAAGATGGACTACTTCACCATTAACACGTACACTGGATTAGTAAAGACGACCAGACGCCTCGATTTTGACGACCCAGCACTGAAGACCGCTGGATGCGTTCCGAGTAGGGCGAACTCACTCACCGAAGTGTTTCATCAGAACAATCCTTCATCTTTAAAGTCCATCTCCTACTGCTGCTTTTCCTTCCAAATTACAAGCTTAAGAGAAGACTCTTTGCAAATCCATATATGCATTGGCGACATCAATGACAACGCGCCCGAATGGAATTTAAAATCATTCGACAAATCGAGATTGGAACACGTGAGTCTACCTATTGCAATGTCTAAATATTGTAAATAACGCGGATGCATAACAAAGGATACGGTTGAGTGACAAATTTAAATGGACACTGGCTTCTCTCCAAATAATCCAAAACCTTTCGCTTGATCAGTCACATTTGGCGTGAAATAGAATTTGTGAGGCTTAGCAAGCCATAAAACAGGCTTGTCAAACTAGAACCCATTTGTTAGTAGATTTACTAAAAGTTATATAGCAAGCTAAACCCCATACATAATCCCACTTTAATCCCTTGTGCAGCAGGCGTGAGTGATCTTCACGCTACAAATCTTATTATAAAAACCAAAGAAGAATTCCAGCAACAATATTTAAACTATACCTTAAAGGACCGCATTTAAATAATGAATAATTAGATTAAAAATAGGGACGAATAGGTAGTTCCGTGGTGTAAAGGTCATAAGACTTGGGAGGTAATTTGAATATACAGGGTGGGCGCTTAGTGAGTATCGTTTGCGCACAAACACGATCGATTGAGGGAACTTTAGTTCATGGACAAATAATTAGAGTTTTATGGTCTCTATTATAGTCAAGAGTGCTAATAAGACATTAAAAGTTTCGATTTTGGCCTAGTTTGGTTGTACCTAAATGTTGCCGTTTATCCTTCAATATTGTGGCAGGCTTAGGGTAACCTTGTTAATATCAAGGTCTGGTTAACAGAAATGTTGCCATTGGTCCGGACATGGGGGTTGTGTTCCAGCTAGCAGGATTTAATTTCTTGTCAATCAAGTGTAGTTTGATAAGGCATTTTTTTAATGATGCTTATTTTGGATGACCGGTGGGTCATTCATTGTCTGGTTTACCAGGAATAGTAATCGGAAATTTAAGGTGCACTTGAAATTATGTAATTTGTTCCATCGCCATGGGAGTGAAGATGCATGCATACCGTTACATTTTCAGGTTTGGAATCACCTTTGTCTGAACACTTTTTATCAGCTGACAAGAGCACCGTCTAACATTGTTTACCACCATTTGTAGGATAAAGGCGAACCACTTCAAATAACATTTAGAGAGTAGTAGGTGTTGTGCATATTTTGGACATAAATTAGGTGAATACGAGGGCAAGACAAAGGACATTGTAATCGTGGTACCCAGGAAGCGTGTAGTTGTTCATGCACATCTTAATTTGCCCATCAGTCACCTATACCCCAGGAGAACAGGCAGCAACGGTCATGCTGGGGCCTCGGAAACAAATATTTCTCTTTTCCTACAGATTTTTGAAAATTATTTTCTTTGTGATTGATAAGTCCAGAGAGGTATGCTAATGTCTGTGCTGTGTAGCTCTTAATAGTCACGGCTCTTAGTTTCCAATGCAATACTCCACTTATAGAGGCTATTAGTCTAAACTGGTTTGTCACAGAATTTTTGAATTAAACAAATACAATTTCGCTGTC